CGAGGTACGGGACGCGCCGTATGCTCAGGTCTGGTTCTGGTCAAAAAAGAAAAAACATTATTGGCATTTCAACACTTCAACACTAATAAATCTAACAAAAAATATGTAGTAAGTACCCGAAATAAGTAGTAGGTACATAGATACCTTTATGACAAGTTATTAAAAATTTAATAAGTACCCTACCTTTAACCCTTTGCTCGGCGGTGATGAACATAGACAATAATACCTATAATTTAAAAAAAAATGTTTTATTTCAGTTTTTTTTACTTCAAAAAAGGAGGTTCTGAATGTTATGTCCTGTGTGTATGTATGTATGTACGCACGCATGTTTGTGCGGGCTTATCACGGGATTGGCTGGACCGATTGTGATATAATTCAGAAAAGTGTTTGTTACACTTAGGAATAGGTTTTATTATATTAATATAACCGACTTCAAAAAAGAGCGGGTTGAAGTCGGCATTTTCAAACATCGTTTAGAAGAAAATTATTAATAATATTTGTGTTAATTTGAATTTGCTCATTTTTTTTTTAGTTATAGTAAGCTATTAGGTACAGTAAAGAATTCACTGAAGGAATATGTCACACTATCCACACAGTACATGATGGTACTTACTACATACTTACAACATAAAAGTTCATAAATAAAATATTCCCGACATTTTATAGTAAGGTGATTAAATAAACAAATTTCCCTAAGTAAAATTATAACTACAGCTAGTTAAGTAGATCAACGTTTCCTAACACTATATCTACCACAATTAGTTAGATTTGGAATTCAATTTAAAGTAGAAAAACCTATCTAACACGATAAGATATCGAACAAAAATAAAGTCCAATCAAATAGACCACTGTCAAATATAAGTTACCAGTCGATTCGTCACAGAAGATATATTACAGTGAATTATAAAATTAAATTAGTGCAGCGCGCCCCCAACAAGTACCAACTAATCGGCATCCTATGGTCTCTATAAAATCACATTAAGTCGCTATGTGTACGCCTTGGGGCCACTGTGGGATGACGCTGCTATAAATTATACTGGAACTGCCCAAATACACGCTCTTTGGACGTAGTTGTGCGGTATTTGAGTTAGGTTTGAAAATTATTTTGTGGTATTTTATTTGTGTCATATGTAATTCATAACTGTAGAATAACATCGTAATTTTTTGACAGTTTAAGGGCCGATTTTTCAATCATCAGCTAATTTCTAACTCTAGAATAAAATTGACAGTTGACAGTTTTTAGTATGGAAGAATTGTCAAATATCTAATCAAACTTATTCCTCTGATAAAATTTATTGGCCGTTGGAAAAATCTGCCCTTATTATTGGAAAACTAATATTATCAGTTTTCTACATGTAAGAAGTATTTTTCCTGTATGTATGGTATTATTTAATAATTATGTTAAATAATATCGTCATATATACCTCAACCTCAGCGCGTTTTCTTTAACTGCTACATGTATTTTATTATGTATTTTATATTTTATCACATACTATCCTTACTTATATTATAAATCGGAAAGTGAGTTTGTTTGTTTTTCCACTTTAACGCCGTAACTACTAAACCGATTGCTTTGAATTTTTGCAGATGTATAGTTAGAAGTCCTGATTAAATAACAGGGTACTTTTTATCCCAGAAAAATTGATATTCCCGAGGAAAAACAAAAGTATTGGTATAGATGGCGCTGTGTGTATTGGTATATGTCACATTGGCTTTTTATCCTTTTGTGATGATATCCTAGTACAATTATTAGGGGTGCGGTGCCAGAAGACCTCCCCGTGGTGCACCCTGGGTGCGGGCGACAGCCTTCCTAGCGGGGGTGATAGGGTTGGAGTGTCTGTCGCCCGCAGCAGACTTCTGGACTGGGCGGGCGAACCCGATAGGGTTCTGGAGGCGGCGGGCTGTGTGCGGAGGCTCATAGCCCGCGCTTCCGAGGGGCGTTTCTCCGCCCGTCTCTCTGGACATAGCAGAGAGCGTGGCGGAGAGGCAATGGCGGTGCTCGTTGTGCACTCACCCTGCCAGCGAGCAGCATCGGGACACAAGCTGTCCCCGATTGCAGCCGTCGATATCGTAATCCGTAAGGAGGTCACGGTCATGTTTTGTGACTCTGAACGGGACGAGGGTCTTGGCTTGGTCGCCCGGACCGCGAGGAAGATAACCTCTATAAAAAATTCCTCCAATACTAAGTTCTGGCGAGCGAAGCCGCGGGTAAAAGCTAGTACAAGATTATATTTAGAGAATTTTATTTCTGTCTTACAATGGACCAAATAATATTTTTATAAATATAAATAACATTTTGTCGTGCCACTTTTAGTTAGCTGTAAATCTTTGTAATCCATAGTATGCTCACGTTTTGCAGATTAAAAATGTAATTAATTTTTTATAGCTTGCTCTATTGGCTTGTGCAAATGCTGTTATTTTTAGGTCGTGTACCAAACGGTTACGATTATGGGGTTTATCCAGTTTCCAATGCCATGATTAGTTTATTTTTGATTTGAAGGGTAACTACATACTTAAATATCTTTATAATAACTATCGTGGGACATACTGAATTAACTAAAAATAACGGCTTACTCACGTAAGTTATACTGAGAAAAGCTCTACTAGTTTCGAGTCATAGAGGGACTCTTCCTCATGAGCAGCGTGCGCGGTCACAGTGATATCGCGCATCCTACTCTTGTGTGACTCGAAACTAGTAGAGCTTTTCTCAATTATTTACGTGAGTAAACCATTATTGTTAGTTAATTAAGTAGCTACTGTTGTATGATTACAGATGATTAGTTCTTTTTTATCACCATTAAATATTATTAAGTTGTTAAAACGGTAAACAGATACAGTGAGAACTAAAACAACGTATACTGAAGACCAAAGAGTAGGTGACTATGTCATTGTGCTTGGTATTTCTGGAGCCGCGGAAGACTTAACGGGTTGCCGGGGCTCCGGCTCGAAGTGCAGGAGTAGGAACGGGGTGGTTTTTAGTCAGTAAGAGTCTGACACTCCCTCCCGCCTCATCCGGGCGGGAGAGTCATTTTTTTTTTAAAAACGTTGCCCTACACTAGGATTTTCTCCTGTGTTGTGGGTGCGTTTACAAACATAAAAGTTTACATACACAATGACACCCAGAGCCGAAACAACAATTTGTGGATCACACAAAGTGTTGTCCCGTGCGGGAATCGAACCCGCGACACTTTGCACTGCAGCCGGTTGCCCAACCACCGCACCAACCGTGCAGTCGAAGTCATTAAATGATTTTCCCCCCTCAAAAAAAAAAGACTACTTAGAAGTCCTTCGAATCGGTGGAGACTTGGGCTAGACTCGATATGAGGCCAATAAGCACTTAATAATAAATTAACACCTGTATAGTACTATGTTTTAATGCAAATAAATGAATTATAAATTTTGAATTTTAAATAGAATTTCTCAACTTCTTGTACCATAACGCCACCAAGCACAGTAGCAGAGAACAAACAGTAGGTTGATATACCAGTGTAAAAAAAGATGTGGTATTTTTCCATCATTCCATACTTCTTCATCATCATAAAAAGGCGAAAGACGTCCACTGCTGGACAAAGGCCTCCCCCTCAGTCCTCCACGTCGAATGACAACTCTCCATTTGCATTCACTGGCTCCCCGCAACTCTGGCGATGTCATCGGTCCACCGAGCGAGAAGCCTGCCCACGCTTCGTCTTCTGGTCCGCGATCTCCACTCAAGGACTTATCTGGCCCATCTGCAGCCAGTCCGTCGAGCGACGTGGCCTGCCCATTGCCACTTCAGTATACACCATACCACACAGTATACTACATATTTCTTAGTTTACAAAAATAACTTAAATTTATCAAAGTTGTCCGTAAAATCTGTATGCGAGTCTAAGCGCAAAGAATCTATTCAGAGACTAGTAGCGCCATCTTCTTGTGGAAATCGACATCAGTGTCCATATTTTGTTTATCGTCTACTTTAGAGCCTAGCCTTTAACACGACTATTTTAATACTCTGATTGTGTTTACAATAAAATTAATGGCCATAAATAAGCATTTATGAATGAGTTAATAATTTAACAACTAACTCAGCTATATACTCATAAAATTTAAGAGATAACACATTATTATTCTGGGTTTGTCTTTGTTAGCGGAAGCTTATAAAATGGACCTATTTCATCAAGGCATAATAATAATTTGGAGGCTATTGGCTCCCTTGGTGTCAACTTGGTTGTTCAATCAGGTAAATAACAGTGAGTGACCTAGAAGCCATAGATAAAATATATAGGATATCTGTAGTAGTTGATCTATCTATATCATATTCATAGGTACTCACTTTGCAGCCAATACTCGTGCGAGTAAATTGAATTGATTAACTTTCTTTTACGCCATACGTATAAAAAATAATGATCGTTTCCCACCTTTCGGCACTGCTGAACAGTAACACGCCGAACAACAACTTACAATCATCACTTGTGTCCAAAAGCTATCGCAAAGGCGCGACTCTGATAATGTCGTCGTTCGTCGTCGGTCCACTTAGTAAGAGGCTTAGTAGTTTTACTATCCGTCCGCAGTCATCACTTGATCCCTTCCTGACACATCATTCTGCTCTTAGATGTCTACTCGCCCTCGCCCATAGCCACTTCACTTCAATTCATATTTTTTTTTAGTAGGTATGTACCTACTCATATTTTTTATTAGCAGGAATCTACAGGAGGATAGCTTGATCCATCTAATCTAAAAGTTTTCAATAGCGACTTCAAGTGACATCTGTTAGGCGAAAACATAAATACTAACCCCGTAACAATAGGTTTATATGAATTGGGAATTCGCTACAATCTCTCATACATGTGGCGCCATCTGTGCATGCACTTTAGTAACTTTCAACATTGTACTATCAAGACTCAAGATGTAAAACTTAAAATGTTATAAAAAATTACTATAAATTGATGTCGATTGAAAATAAATATAAAGAGCCTTTGTAAAAAAAATATAAGCCCTTTTTTCAACGTCCTTGACAAAACCCAATTTCGGTAGCATTGGGTAGCACTGCAGCATATTTACACGACGGACTTTATTGATCGGGTAACATTTCAGGAACATTCCACAAAATGGCCGCTAGTTCTGTTGTGGAGTGACAAATTGAATTATTTATAGTCCCTTCTCCTATGTGCTGTCGTATGTTATTGTTTTGAGTGTATAATTCGTTTGTGTTAAGAACCAACATGTATTTTAAATTCATCGCGATAGTTTTCGCTGCGACCTGTGCAGTATTCGTGACAGTAAGTATGAGTTAATATTATTATAATGTCTTGTCTTCCTCGTTGTTTTTCTCATTATTTGCGTCTTATTACACGCCCCGGTACCTGCGCACTTACGATAAAATATCATTGATTTTCTCCTTTGGACCTCTAACTAAAGGTTGGACCTCTTTGTTCAATTATCGATTTTATGAAGTCCCTTCATTTTGTCGTATTAGATACTTGTGATCGTATTACTTATTTTTCTTTTGATGAGGTTTTTACAGTTTAATCCTAGTGGTTTACGTTGACTAACTCTTTATAAAATGTTGGTTTTAAATCTTACGATAAAATGTATTGGAAATTATATAAAGTGGTCCAGCCCAAGATGAATTCAATTCCCTTTTGGTTGTACCAGACATAATTAATTATTGTACCCTATAATTAGTAAGTGCTCTGTGCTCTCACTGTGCTGGTGCCAGATCGGGATAATAGCAACTTAATGTCCCACCCTAACTGGCCGTGTATAACCATACTACGATACTCCCTCTTCTAATAAGCCGAATATACTATGTAACCACATATACTGGTACAATATCAGACTCCGTGCTACTATTTAAAAGCTCATGTAAGCCTTGCACATTTGGGCTATGAATCTATCATTATTCTAGACAGTCATGCTAATATATTTCACATTACAGGCCCACTCCTATGAAGATAATCGCTGTAAATGTGTCTGCCCGAGCCCAGCTGCTGTCCTCAACAACACGACTGGAGCTGATCGTAGCCCTTTCATGAAGTCTGCCAACGTACAACCTAACAAATGGTAAGGGAATCATAAAAAATATTTTCTTTGTTATGTTTATACCAAGTCACTTCAACTAAGCAGAATATGATATGTTCTTCCACATCTGAACATTACAAGGTCATCTATGCTGAACATACTTTATAATGTTATAAATGTAAAAGACAGTGTGTCTTATTTACTTGTCCATCTTACACAGCAAAAATCAGATGAATAGATGTGATTTTTTAAGTGAAGATAGTTCAAGTGATGGATAGATACATAGTAGCCTATATCACTCTCCATCCCTTTCACTTCAGCCACAGGTAGAAAGCTAGTTTATATGCAACTAATTCCTCACATTGTCTATCCAATTTTCCATCATTTGTTGTCCAGTATCCAATGGTACATCATCCCTCAATCCATCTATAAGAAAATATTTAATTAAGTAGAACTATTTAAACACTGATTAAAGATTTTTATTGTCAATAAAGAAATACATAGTCACTTTCTTCATAACTACAGATAAATATAATGATAATTATAAATTACAAATCCGTGTGACTGGTTAACTCCAGACTGTATGATTATATTATATCTCTGATTGAATTTTAGAGTTGCATTGTTCTCACATAATTGGACGAATCAGACTATGTAACTGAAAATTGTATTATGAACCTGATTATCTCTCCTAAAAAGTGTAACCTATGGAGTTCTTGCTTGTTCTTCTCCTAGCTGGTCCAATTAAAATAAATGACTTTGACTTTAAAATAAGATTAAATCAGTGTAAATTATTCAAGTTACAAAATGAACATATAAAGTCACTATAACAGATTCTGAGTTTTATGGTTTGGAAAATATTCAATTGCACTACAGTTCTGTCACTTAACCTTAATAATTGTATGAAAGGCAAACGATAACAACTTGACAATATTGTATGCTGTGCTAAAATAAGTCTCGCTTCAAGAATATGGTCTGATCATGTGGACACCTATTCAATGCCATCGCTATTGTAGTTTCATAACGTTTATTCAATTTATGTGATTGCACCTTTTCATTGCTGTGCAATTGTGCTCCCATGTTTTCCTTTTCCTTGATGCTACTGCTATCTGAATTTGTTCAGCGAATTTATATTTATGTTGCTTTGCCGTTGTTGCTATTTATATTTAGGTATATTATAACAAAATTGGATATTAGTTTATTACACATGGCCTGTTTTCAGAGGACGTCTATACCAAAATGTTCAGGCGAAAGCTGTTTGGTTTGTAAATAATTACCATGCAGCAATTAAGTAGTGTTTATTACAAAAATAAAAATAAAATATTATCGCTTGGACTTGTTCATTAAATTCTACTAAACCTATAACTTAAAAATTCTTAATGGAAATTTTGCATTGGTGCACATGTTATCTATTTATTTATAATTTTACTAGCGACCCGCCCCGGCTTCGCACGGGTGCAATATATACATACAAACCTTCCTTAAGAATCAGTCTATCTATTAAAAAAAACCGCATCAAAATCCGTTGCGTAGTTTTAAAGATTTAAGCATACATACGGACATACAGCGAAAGCGACTTTGTTTTATACTATGTATTGATGCAGACACAGGACAGTACACAAGAGAACACATACATAAATAGATTGAAGGTACATAGGTACTGACTGCATATTCCAGTAGGAATCTCTTTTTGCATCCCTCAGTTTTTCCGGTTATGTTAATAGTCCTGAGCCTATAGCCATTAACTCTGCTTTTATTGATTTTTTTTCTGAATTCCTAATAATCCCCAATAAATATAAGAAAAAAGAATGATAATAGTTATATTAAAAAATTTACATTATAATCCACATAGTAATCTAACTAAAGCGAATGAATGAGCCTTTAAGCAAATGTGCAACTGCAATCTGACTTAAATATGTGCTAATTCATTTACATATATGTTTTGCGGCGAATATTGCACAAAATAATAAATAATGTTGTATATGATATCCTTCAAAGAGCCAATTTGTTAATGTACATAATTATTATTATTATTTCACACTCTTTTTATTATTCCTGAGAGAAGGTTGATTATATTATTGTGTTTATTTGTTACCAGTAACTGTGAATCGGTTATCCTGCCACGTGTAGCTGATCAGATCAAAGGTCGCGAGCAAGAGTTCTGTCCCCGATGTGAATGCAAATACGAAAACAGGAATACTACCATTATCAAGGTATGTACCTAAGCATCGTGCAATCGTTTGCACGCGTTGCAGAATCACATCCATTTATTTGTTGTTGAATTAATTTCCACTGCCTTTTTAGGACTTTGATTGTGGTACTTACACTTTGGAACCAGCATCTAGTTTCACTGACAGATACTGCCGGTTAATAAAAGATCAATAAATTGAAATAAATACTTCGAATTGGACTTTGGGAACTGAGGTTGGCATTTACTCTGAGTTTGAAGTCTCATTTTATTTTAGAAGATATCTGGTTTAGACTTCAGTAGTGCATCACTGGTAAATAAACAAAATTAAATAGATCATGCACGAACCATGGATGCGAAAACTTAGTAGTAGATACAATATTTCTACTATAATTGTATTGTTCTCACAGGAGCTATCCATCTTTGAATCCACTTCAATGCTCATTTTTTTAATATTCGGTCTACGTTATTCTTAGGATACCTTTATTCATTATACACATTTTAGGCTCGTCTTGTTATAATTGGATTTCACAAAATGACGTAGTTTCCTCGGTGATAAAATAAACTGTTCCGACTATTCAATCCCAATACAATATTAAAAAATAATGACACATTCATTAATTGATTTGATAAACTACTTTTCGATTTTTTTCTAGCAAATTTTCTAGAAGATAAGTCTGCTATTTGACGTAAAAATATTATATAATATGATACAATATGATACGCAATAACCCTGTATCTCATACAAAATTCATAGTCGTTTTTGAAAGTATTGAATTTGACTGAAAAACTAGCCTATTGCCAGAAATTAATCATGTGCTGTCTACTTATATCAAATACTTTCTCAACAGTATATACTCTGAAGTCAAGTGTTATTTCATACATTTCAGGTGGTAGTGATCATAGTGATCTGGGTGATTATGCTGCTGGTGGTGTACATGGGCTTCCTTATCTGCCTCGATCCTCTCATCAACAAACGCGCTAAGGCGTCCTACCAGGAACATACCAACGAAGATGTAAGTTTCTTTTCCACCTTCTTGCACGGAAAGCTACCGCTGTGTAATCCAAAAATGGTCCTAATGGAGCTGATAATTCGGTAGGATTTTGCGTGCTTTGTTTTGTTTGTCTGCAAACGTTCGGTCATCTCACTAAACAGTGCAATGTCATTCCTTCCACCCATAGCTCATTTATTTGCAGTGGCGTTATTATAAAAGGTGATAGATAGATAACAGCCATGTCCTGGCGATATGGCGGAAATTAAGGATTAGAAGAAGCAGGGAATAGAAAGCTCTTTCTTCATGTTAGAAAGAGTTACTATGCCTTCGCCACTGCAAGGACGCTTTCGCATTTCATGTAAAATATTTACTTGTAACATTCCCACTCATCATTGGACACTTCCTACGTACAATCGAATAGCAAATGATTATACGTGTGTCTTCGTTTGATGTGTGTTTCATCTATTCGGATTAGGATCATCCTAATGAACTAACTGATGGAGAAACTGTTATAATAAAAGAGTAGGATAGGATAACCGGACATAGAAAATTACTAATTACTTGTATGTCACCCCAACTTCAATTTTCTGGTGAATTAGTTTATATTTTCTTCGCGCAATTCATCTTCACAAAACAAGTATCAAATCATCACAAACAAGTAATAAACACAATAACCAATTTGTTGTAGTTATTCGGACGTATGCGAGCTATATTTGGGCGATTAAAAAGGCGCGATTGAAAAACTGCAAATAACATACGTAGGAAGTGTCTGTCCATTTGACAGACAGTTTTAAATGTATATGAGGCCGATGTTTCCTATCTTAGGCCTCGTTTATGGAGACGCGGAGCTTTGTGCGCCGCGTGAGGCACACTCTTGAACGGTTTGCGGCGCGGACTGTACGTCAGTGCCGGTTCCGGCGTGGGGCGGGCGTGGTGTCTTGCGTGCTTCGCTACGGCATACGCAACAGGATCCAAAGCTGATTCCGCCGGGTAATCTATACATGGGTGACACATAGTTTAACCAAAACAATGACGAAAAGGTGTTTTACAAGAGTCAGTTGGTTACTGGTATGTGGCGGCTGAACCACAACATGGCAATTGGCTCCGTGTTCACAGGGGACTTATACGCAACAGAATACGCTCACACTAATACAGGACGCGTCTCCATAAACACTGAACATTTCATTCGCTTTGTGTCACACGTCATCTTCATTGTGACCATTACATTTCAATGTGGAGATCATAAACGCAGCCTGCGTAAAACAACTTGTATTACATGCAAGGATTATTGGTTCCACAGGATGAAAGTACGCTCGGTGGGCCATCACAGCAGATGGGAGCGCGTGGCAACGTTCTCAACAGAGTGACGCACCAACAGGACAAGTGGAAGCGCCAAGTCCGTGAGCAGCGCCGCAACATCTACGACAGGCATACGATGTTGAACTAGGACCCGTTTCATACCTCATCCGTGGCGTAGCAATACTAAGGTAATCGTTTACCGTGGGCCCCGATCTTTCTAAGTAGGTAGTTGTCCAAGTATATAGGACTATCTCTATCAACTATGTGGTTTGCAGTTTTCAACAGTGCTGCATATAGTGCTTGAAGACATTATATGCAGTTTTCTGTTCATTCAACTTCTAACTTTGATTGGTTTTTCCTAAAATTGGAAAATCCATACCAAAGTATTCGGGGCCCTAGTGCTGCGCCTTCTATGGATGGAGGTAGGTGAAAACATATTTGAATGAATCCCTTGCTTCGAGGACAGACCAGTAGATGATAGAAAGCTATAGCAGTATAAACTCTGAAATATTATATTCAATGCACATTTACAAATAAAACAATTTTGAAACATTTTTAACATTATACACACATGTTATATACAATCAAGACTTATTATTCGCTAGATTGAGTAGGAATTTATTGATATATTTACCATTTACATGATTGTTGATGCACGTTCAACAGTTCTGCACCATGTACAGTTACAGTAAGAGCCGACTTTTCCAACGCCAGATAAATTTTAACTGAGGAATAACTTTGATTATTTGACAATTCTTCCAAACTGTCAAGTGTCAATTTCATTCTACAGTTAAGAATTAACTGATGATTGAAGAATCGGCCCTTACCGCCGCGGCTGTACTCAGTCATTCACTGGCTACTTAACCCAATCCTTAGCAATTGTTTTTTAAGAACAAAATTGTTACTAAGGTATAGTTTAAGTAATCATTTAAGGACCGATTTTTCAATCATCAGCTAATTCTGAACTGAGGAATAACTTTGAATATTTGACAATTCTTCCAAACTGTCAAGTGTCAATTTTATTCTACGGTTAAGAGTTAACTGATGATTGAAAAAACGGCCCTAATTGTCTGAGTATCGCAGTAAGGGCAGATTTTTCCAACGCCAGTTAAATTTTAACTGAGGAATAAATTTGAATATTTGACAAATCTTTTAACTGTCAACTGTCAATTTTATTTCACAGTTATGAATTAAGTGATGATTGAAAAATCGACTCTAAATAGTTTGTAATCCAGTCATTTTGTAACAGTTAATTGTCATATCAAAGCAAGCGTTAATAACAAGAGAAGTAGGAACGAAGAAAATGACAACACATATTCATTAATATCTTCAACTCTTCATAGTCGGTAAGGTTTAGTATAAGGTTTGCCAGCATCTAGCTTCGATTAGGTTATATGCTGATAAAAGACTACCAAATGAAAGACAAGAGTCTAAATAGTGAAAGTTTACATTATATTAATTAGTTATATTATATTTAAATTGTTATTTATGAGTCTAAGACAGGCCTGGTTAGGCTACCGTGATTGATATTAATGTGGTATAAAATTTTAGAGGAAAGTGGTCAATGTCTTCCATGGAGTAAATACCAACAATCTTAGTAGGTATGCATTGTAAAAATTCACTGCTGTCGTTTCCAAAATTGTATTGTATTGTATTATATATTTTTGACATCGCACGATTCACGTTCATATCTTGTAGGGATATTGAAATAAGCACTCGTATGTATGTTTTCGATGTATTGTGTATTCAGACGAGTAATGATATTAATATTTACCTCTGTTATGAATGTTGAAGTTTTTGATATGTCTTTACTGCACCGTAACATTCGATTAATTATAGCACTAATGATAACTTGCTTGTGATAGTAGTGTCATAGTATAATGATCATATTGTGATGTTCCATACGTACACAGGTATCACTAACTCGCACCACAGACAACGATAATGCTTAAAGGTAGTAGAAATTGAAAGTGAGAAGTCTGTCTGTCCTCGAAGCTTATACGGAGCGTTTGTAGGATAAGCACATAGTATACAATCAAACAAATTAAAAATCATGTAAACAATCCCTTATTATATTAATGTTAAGGAGAAGTAATGATACAAACGAACTTGTTCAATACATTTACTATACAATTATAATACATTGGATATTTGCAAATTCATCGAATATAATTACAATATCATGGAATTTTGGTAATAGATATGGAGTAAGGTAATTACAAATATTATCTTATTAAGTAATTCTTCAATTTTACCACAGTAACCAGTTTTAGACCATTAGATTAATATAAAGACATTTTTTATAATTATTATTATAATGCTCACACTATATGAGTATATAATTAGGTGTTGTATTAACTCTAAGGTAATTTCAAATTCTTTATCCTAACTACAGAAGATTCAGGTTCTAAATACTGTGAACGAATGAAATATTCTCATCTGATTTACATGCACACAATTCAACATCAGTATTTATATTCGATCCAATAACTATTTATACATGTGATGTCATGTACGTATTTAATATTTATTCTTCTTAATGTTAAGATTATAATCATTTAGCTTCGGCGTAGTCGGGTAAAAAGACGAAACTATTGACTAGATAATGTAACCAAAAGGGTAAAATAAAATTCAATAAGCCAATGTAAAAGACTAGATTTCGATTTTGCACTTAGAAAATTCTAGATGTTAGTATGCACCCAAAATATTAGATAGTAATACTCGTTTTAAACTATTTATATATGTGTATTAGCAGATATATCAATATCGTAGTATAATAACTGTTTTGTAACATGCTTATGAAGTAATATTACAGAACATTTTAAAGTCTATTTCATTCTTCAATGAATTGACATATTTTAGGTGGTATGACATTACTCAATATTGAATTTAGATTTCATGTTTTACTATAAAATCAACAAATATTTCATTTTTACATAGCATATTGATGATGAAAATAATATACACACAATCTTTGGAATTCTTTTAATAAATATCATTTAATTGGGTAGTTTCCATTGTAACAAAATTAAAAAATCTTATTAGTCCGTCAGTTAGATAATGAAAAAATATTAGACACGATTTTTTTTATTTTCTAGTATTAAGTTGCAATACTTAGATAAAATGGCGGTAAGTTTAGGAGTGGGAGGTTGTTACGTCATAACGTGCTACAAAATGTGGCACGCTGTGACGTCACACGATATTTCAAATTAATATATCGTCGAAATTATTTAATTTTGTGAGAAAAGAAAAAATACGTGTCTAAAGTTTTAAATTAATCTAGCAGACGGACATTAAAATAAAATTTAGGAAACTACCCTATTTCAGAATTAAGTCATAATAATTTTATTAATGTTTGCAATATATTTAACGAAAGTATTAAATGTTGTCAGCATCACATTTAGACATAATAATTATGTGTATAAACGTAAATGTAGAATATATAAAGTTATAAACCTTTGTTTTGTATTTTTTTATTTAAAATGATGATGATGATGATTTAAAATCTGTATATTTTGGTCACAGTTTTTTTTTACTTTTTTAAAGCTAAGTATACATAAGTAATTGCAAAAGGCATGTAAACAATGTTATTTATTAATATACAAAAAAATTGGAAGTATGATACACCTTAAGCTTATTTACGTTTCTGTTATAACGCCTTGTTATGTCATTTAACTACAGAGAGAACTGTACTAGTCGTTCAACAGCTTGCATTAACTGAATGCACTCTAAACCATCGTAAGTGCAATGTACTGGATAATATTCTTTGTTATTTATGACGCCTTGAAGCAAACTCCCAAAAATGTGGCGGGTCACAATTTAATTTGTCGTATGTACATATGTTTATTTTCAAGTAACTAATATTAACTGCTTCCATAACAATTTATACAGCGTGATGCGTGAATTATACACCCTTGGTAGCTAAACAACTAGACATAAATTGAAAAGATAGTCGTCATTCCTATTCACGCTGTGTTAAATAAACATTTCAACAATGAGAAGATACATTAATAAAATATATTAAATAAATAGCCATTACGTTATTGTAGATCAGTGTATAACTATAGTTTAGCAATTAGCTTAAAGTAATCAGCATCACCGACAGGCCTTAGATGTAGATCATGTACTCAAAGCTTAAACAATAAACATTTCCTTGTTAAGTTTTTAATACCAGTTTGCCAGGCTCACAGACTTGTGTCCATGTGCTTGTTTTTTCATAAAATGTACAATGGCGGAGTAGTATAATATCATAATTATCAGTTATTATCAGATTAATTTCTTTCAAAATAGTTGGTCATTTCAGCTCCGTCAGTTCTGATATATGTATTGGGCGAATCAACATGTTCTATAAATTACGTCTTACCTACTGCCTCAAAGGGTTATTTAATAAGAGCATACCTGCTGACAGTTACAACAAAAATTTAACAAATATTTTTCAAATAGTGACCACTTCTGTAAGCACAAGTTTGGCGCCGGCATTACGCCTACAAACTTGGTAGTTCTAAAATAATCTCATATTATTATCATTCTAGAAAAAGGAAAAACATTTTTTTATAATATGTTAAACGGTTTTATTTAGCTCTATTCCAATCAAGCCCTTTGGTTTGATATCAATAATGGAGGTAGTAGTGAAACTAAAACATAACATTGTATGGCCATCGAGATTAAAACTTTACGAAATACAGAGCCATCTGTTTGACCCAACAAATGAATGAACCTGTGCCTTTAGCCAAACGCTACTTTAGCGCTTGTCTACAGAGAGAGTAAAAAACTAAACGTATCGGGATGACACTGACAAGTGTCAAAAATTACATCAGTTCCATATAATTTGATTTTCTATTCTACATGTAGACAAGCGCTAAATGGCATTTGGCTACAGCTACTGTGCCTTTAGCCAAACGCCACTTTAGCGCTTGTCTACAGAGAGAGTAAAAAACCAAACGTATGGGGATGACACAGACAAGTGTCAAAATTTACGTCAGTTCCATATAATTTGATTTTCTATTCTACATGTAGACAAGCGCTAAATGGCATTTCGTTACATCTGCTGGCAAGCTCAATAAAACTGTTTATAAGTACTATAAGACCGTTTCCGTGAGACTGGCTAAGCTTTATATAAGTTCAATAGTATTTCTATATTATTAAATAAATTGTAAACGAAATCTATCCTCGTTTCATAGATAGTCGCAGTTTCATATCATTTATCCAATAATTATGATCTATAATATTATTTGTTAATATTTTTCTTTTACAGGTACTTTCTGATAATGTTTGTATTTAATACATTATTTATTGATTTTATGTGTTGCTGAATATTCATGGTTAACTGTTATTACAAAATGTGTGTAATAATTTAATGATTGTGTTTTTGCGACATTATAATATCATGTATTCTCTTCTACATCTATCGCATCTATTGTAGGTTATACTTCAATTAAATTGTCATGTAAATATTTTAATATAATACGTGTTATCTCTTTATTAATTAAATAAATACAATTTAAATGGATGTCTTATATATTTTACAGTTCACTCTCTTTTAGTCTCTCCTCAAAAATGTGACGTTTTTAGTAAAGACTATACAGTGTTTTTAAGTCGATGGCCGAGTGGTCCTAAGTTCAACTGCCGGGCAAGGGGTCCCGGGTTAGATTCCCGGTTCGGACAGAGTACAAGTGGGTTTTTAAAAAAATTTCAGTAGTAGCTCGGAGTCTGGAATTGTGCCCGGTTTATGGTAATAGGCTCACCCCCTATTACAATGGGACTCATAACATAAATAGTGAAAAGTGGGTGTTACATTGTACAGTGGCTTCAGTGCCGTAATGTGCACCTCTGCCTACCCCTTCAGGGATAAAAGGCGTAATGTTATGATGATGATGATGTTTTTAGCTTTAGTTTAGCTAGGTTTCCGAAATACTCTTTAAAAAAGGTGTCATCTGCTCATCTGACGCCCTCTCGAGTTTAGGATTTATAACATAACTAGTGATGATAGTTTGCTTTGCCTGGCTTCCAGATAAAGGCAAATGTTAAAAAAATCATGGACGAAGGCAAGATAAGTAATTCAACTTCAATGGAATGTCCTGTCTTCAATCCTCTAGGTAGTAGGTACTAATAGGTACTAATAGATTAAATAAAACACAGTAGTTACACAGAATTATCAAACATTTATTCACATTAATGCGTACATATCTTCATAACCATATTTGCCAAAAATCTGTTAAATATTTCGCTGTTGCGAAAATACACGATTACATAATTACCTACCAGATGGTTTTACCTCCACATACAGACTAGAAATTTCGCAATTGCGAGAAAAATAAATCGCACTTTGCTGCGTAGCTCGAGATAAATAGATAGGTAAACAAAAATAAATATTGATAGAACATTTTATAAAAAATACAATACTTTAGGAGATATAAATAAAGTCTCTAAAAAATATTTAAATTACATAGGGTCCGCCTCTAATCATCATAACTTACACGCCAAAAATTGCCTTTTGATTCCTTCCCAATGAGGCTGTACGTAGATAAAGGGATTTTTAGCTAAATTACTGAATGCTATTCTTTCGTGTTTTCAACTTTCTGAAGGAATCGGCCAACAATTAGGTTTACATAAACTTAAGTCTCTATTACACATTACGTCTAAACACATATTTATAGCAACATCAAACATTTTAATATCTTAGTTCTAAAATCTACTACTAGCTTTATGCATTTTTCTGAGCACTTGAGTGCACCGAATAAGGTAGGTAATAAGGATAATGAAATCTTGACATCAACAAATTCAATCAATAAATTGTTTTCGTTATTCTTACTCTTCTAAAATTGCGTGTTATAAGAGATGCCGTCATAGATGTCGTCATCAAATATCATATTTACGTATTCACTTAAATTGAAAACGAATAATAGAAATATAGAAACTCTGATAATTATTTATATCTATGATTATAAATAATCATAGATATAAATAATAAATATATTTCCAAAATACCTTTCATGGATCATTCGGTTATCGGAACTAAAAATAGCAGAAAGCGTACGAAGAAGTTTCAATCAAAAATGAACCCGAAAATGAGTGTAACGACGTTTAAAAACGAACAAAACCAAAACGGAAGTAGTCCTGGTAACACTGTTTTACTGCCTAAATACGAACCATACCAAGGTATTCGTATGATAAATACCCGGTATAAGCCTAGAAAACTCACTAGACATCAGTCTCAGCGCCGGTCCTAGGGCGGTGTGAGCGGCGCAACCGCACCGGGCGCCATTACGGTGGGGCCGCCAAAACGAACGGAGACGTAAAATAAAAGGTGCCGGACAGAGCGCACACGTGTAACGCGACAGATCCACGAAAAAATGCGAGGAGCACGAAGCGGGTCATGGGGAGAAATTGCATCTGCCACGCTCTATTCTGCCATTAACAAATTATCTATTTAATGAGGTATTTTCTTCAGTCAAATAAAATTATGTCAACTTTTCTATACAATTTTAATATTCAAAAATAATCGTATTCATGTCATCCATTGATTTGATGATATTAGGTCGACTATCGACAATTAAAACCTGTAATAATTCGAACTTCTCAGGGGAAACCAAAACAAACCGAAACGTGAGACAAAAGGTGCCGAAGCGGGCACAAATATCAAAAATGAAATTAAGAAAGAATATGATAATTTACCTAAAATTTAACATTGAACAGACGACGGAAATAATTTCTGTCTATGACGATGTCGACAATGTTGAACTTGATATATCGCCCACGTGGTCAAATGAAGTCAGGAAAGATGGAAATTATGTATCCCGAAATGTACAGACGACTGAAGCTGTCTGTTCACACAATATTCACAACCTGAAATCTGAAAATACAGATGACGTAGCTACATTCTTAGATTTCATGAATTTACTCGACATAACATTACCATCAGGCAAACCGATCGACACTATTAAACCTCAAAATGACACAATCCGGTTACGGAACGCGAAACGAAAGTGAAACACACTAAGGATGATCGACCTTTTTCAAATACCACTTGGTTAAAACAAGGTAGTCGAAATTATAAACTTCGGCATTTACGGATTAGAATAGTTGAACGACATAAAAAGAGTGATGTTTGTAGTCTTCCTGCTTAACCCTCCCCGGAAATCAAAGATTTTTGATAACCGAACCTCTTATAATGACGCTGTACAACTAAAACAGATTACGCGCCACGACAGAAAGCGTACCAAAAAACGCGACGTAACTTACCTACGCGACGTCTAAACGCGAAGAAAACCAAAAAGAAAGTAGTCCCAGTAAGACTCTTTTACTACCTAAATATGAACCATAACAAGATAGAAGACTAAAACATACGCGGTATAGAAAACTCACTAATGATCAGCCAATTGGGTACTTTCCGTAATCAAAAATAAATTATTACGACTTTTGAGTTCAATACAATAAAATATTAAAAAATAATCACATTTTCATTCTTTGATTTTATGATCAAATTGTTTTAGTATTTTTCCAGCAATATTTTTTAGAAATAAGTATGTGTTAGACGCTAAAAAAACGTGTTGTCACAATACAAAATCTCGTACAAAAATCATAGAAAACTATCGTTTTCGACAGTTCGAAAAAAGTTTAGAATTTCAATATGTAGTTGGAAAGTACCCAATTACACTGTATGCAGTCTGCATGATAACTAGTCTCATCAAGTCTTATCTCTGTTCCTATCTTTATAATTGAATTATTACGGCTATGCCAGGCGCAAGATATCATGGTGGGTAATACAAATTGTTTTCTTTGCAATAGGCTTTCAAAAACGTAATTTATCCAGCCTTACAACTCATGTTAGTCTGACGAGTGGCCACAATATAATCGGGTCAAATTATATGAAAACATTGTTATACTTTTCATATCAAAATAGGTACCACTCGGGCATAATTCCAAAACAATATATCTTTTCGAGACGTATAATGTTGAAATTGTTTGCCAATAACATTTTTATCTTTAAATTTGGTTAAGCGGGCCAGTATTTTATAATTATTATTTTTATGGCCGACTTTAAAGCCTGCCCTGTATTCCGCAGTCGTATTATTGACCAACCTTAAGTTTGTTTATTTTATTAATAAGAATTTCGAAAATCTGATACAAGCGGGATATGGATGGATAGGTTTTTATATGAACACATGACCTCCTAAGCATCGTTGGTACAGTACCCGTGAGGGTAGCTTAACATGTACTGCAAAAACTTCTTACATGGCAAGAACTGTTCCGGCAGACCCGGTCCGACTGTAGTTATTGTGTAGGTATATCCTACCTGCATCAAATTAAGCTTTCGAAACCCTTTCTTAGATCTAAGTGTTACATGAGAAATTTAATAACTATTAATTAATTAATGTATAGGTACATTTTATTGTGATTTTTTACTTAATTTTCATGATAACGGACTATAAAAAACGTTATTTTTTACATTTAAGCGTTTAGCTTTCACGGTCTAATATGAGGATATTGTATTTTGATTATATGAATATAGGGTATAGATGGAGTTCAATGTTATTCTTGGATAGTAATTAAATCCTTGTTGATAAGTTTTATAAACTTTTCTCCATATTCTTTAAGGACAGATGTAAAAATTCACAATAAAACTAGCTTATATTCCTAACACATTGAAGTGTTTTCACATTAAACATTCGCATGATGTAAATATACATATAATACTCGCTTTGACGAAACAGGAAACTTAAGGAATACAACATTATCATATTTTATATTGACATGTTGCCATTTTTTTATCACAGTCGAACTTTTTGTAACTACGTTTGCGACATAATTTTCTACGAATAGCGAGTACCAATTAGGTATATCACATTCAGCATGTCAATGTAAAATAAAAGTAATGGTTCATCCGATATATGGCAAGATAATTAAAAATTCCTTAAGTTTGTTTTCGTCAAAAAATGTAAGCATTTTAACTTTTTAAGATACAATTTTCAGTAGTAGAGCATGCAATAGAGAGCATTGATTTAGAGTACAGGTTAATTTTGTAACTCTTTCTTTATGCCTACCGTGACTGCATTAACCAGTTAAATTGAGTGCCGGTTCAATAACTTATATGTCAGCAGATAAGCTTAGTAGATTTGTCATAATATAGTTTTATCATGTAGACGAATCACATGATAGTGAGCAATCGTTGCCCAGCGGCGACTCTCGCCGCAACAAAGGAGTTACTAATCCGTCCGTTTTGAGGATTCAAGGATTTTAACCTCCCTTACATAGCGAAACATAACGCAAGCGCTGTGTCACTACGGCTTTCTGTGACGCCTTGCTATATCTCCAGTAGAGCCGTTCCATTTGTATCGCGCTGTCTAAAGTTTTCTTCTATAAGCAAATCTAGCGACAGATAAGTATTGAAACTTTTTTTTTTACATGCCCCATTGTGAAAAATCCTCATGGAGCCACCTCGCCTGGGGACAACGAAAGAGACTGTCAGACTTCTACTGACTAAAAACCATCCCAGTGTCCCGTCTCATA